GGGGTTGTTGTGGTCCCATGTGTGTGTGTACGCACATACTCGATGTGGGTAAGGAAGGGAAGAGGGACAGCTGCCAGTCTACAGTGTAAGGTGTACTGTACATGATGTGTTTATCCCTTCACCCTAATGAAGTGAATGCTTGCCATTACTGTGAAACGGGATGGAAATTGGTGTTCAGTGAATATATATAGAATCCTAATTGGTATTGTTGATGTACGGCACTATTAGTAGTGCACTCATCAATAGCCCAACCAGCCACTTTACTGTGGATAGCAACAATAATGGTAACATGGTTTCACCCTCACCGAGTGGGTAGTTAATGGCTTTTTTTGTGGTTTATTATTTCGTTACTGTTAGTTTTTTCTTAATGTTTGACAACGGTAACTGTGCAATATTCTGTGTGATTTTTGATGATGATGTACTTTGTTTGGTGTTTTCTGTGTTTGGTATTGTGTTTTGGGTTTATATATTCATCCTCTATGATGATGAGAGTGCATTATAGTTTGTTGTTGTTCTTTGGAAATATACACCATATTGTTTTCTTTGCTGTCATCAAAGATTTATGAAGGTTTTCTTATTGTACAATCGTTTACATTGTTTCTGAGGGGTATTTTTTTTTATTATTGAGGTATACTCCTACTGTAATGATCCACTGGAAAGAAAAAATTAATTAATCATCGCCCGGTCCTATAGTGTAGTGGTTATCACTTCGGACTTTGAATCCGAAAACCCAGGTTCGAATCCTGGTAGGACCAACTTTTCTCTTGTTTCGCAGATTTTTTGTAAACAAAATAACTGATTCTACTCGTTTGCATAGAGTGCATGTGGGGTCACTACAATATTCATGGAGGAATTTTTTGGTATTTGAAGTGGTGAATAAAAAGATAAATTGCGGAATGTCAACGCTTTTTTCAGGAAGATGAAAAATTATCCCATTTATTACATTACCTTAATACTCAACACTCATAACAGTAATATATCGCTTTTTTTTTCTTTACATCCTGTGTAACAGAACATTAAACGAACAATATGGACCACCTGGGCACATGTATATATGCATACAAGTGTTAAATGTTCCTTCCCGTAAAGGAAACACCCAAAGGAAAATAAAGAAATACTGATATCAGAAGAAATAATGATTCCCTGCAAGATGTGTGATATAATAGCGTACACTATAGTGGGCAATAAAAGTCCCTTATAAGAGCATGTCATCATGAGGACTTGAGAAAAGTTATACTCTGCACGAAGTTTAATATCCCGGATGGCATCAATGTGCTACAAACTTTCTCATAGAGAGGTAGAAAACATAGGAAGTCTATAGTCCTTGAAAAAGAAAAGAAGAAATTATTGGAGTTACAAAGTTGTCAGTATTGATGAAGATGAAGTTTCCACGGAAAAACAAACAAACAAACTACAGCTATTCGTCACCACCGGAGCGGGAACTCCGAAGGAAAACCAATGTGAACTACGCTAAAAGTTCTATGCCCTTCTCTTCTCCATATTCATTTATTGCGTAGAAATCAATGATTGATAAGGGATGCTAACAAAGAAGGATTCCAAAGACTCCCAGATCGACACAATAAAAACAAGAGAACTTCAGCAAATGGTATGGTCGAAATGGAACCGTTAGTTTATGAGCAAAACAGACCACACATTACATAGATACGTTACAACACCTTTATCATACCATTTGCGTGCGATGCAGAACGAAGCACAGTGATCTGCAACAAAACAATGCTACAGCTATTGAATTATTCAGCTCTTTATCCATGCATTGTACAGCTTGCGGTATGTGGAGTGCACTTAAGTATTTATCTTTTACTAAATAATTATCCCAAATGGTATGACTGTGGATTGGAACTACACTATACCCTAACTCTTCCCATACAGGAATCCCTACATCATTCATCTCTACTAACATTAGACAATTCTCCGCTATGAAGTGTGACCGACATTGATTATTCAGGACCTGATAGTTTCAGACGTAAACGTACTTGTTTCCAGTATCCCCAACAGAATAAATAAAAGCTTCTCGAGGTCAAATAAAAATGCAAAAAAACGAAACTTTTCAACGGTTTGTGATTAATGAGAGTTCTAGTGGTGATTAATCGTAGACTACTTTGTATTGTATGCAAAAGGTTATAAATGAAAATGTGAAAGAAATCTAAATTAAGAAATGAATATTACAAGACTAAAAAGCACAGAAAAAACAATGGGATCTTTTTCTATTCACTGATTTGCAGCAATAATGGATGTAATCCACAGTCGTCTGATGGCAGTTGCACTATTGAAGTAAAACCCAGAAAAATGAGAAGATTAAAAAAACATGATATTTCTCAGTTTATTCATACCATCAGTTAGTGAACCACACACTCATCTTTACTCTCTGAATGGATAAAAGAAAACTACTATTCAGTGTATATCTCCATTACCATCACAATCAAATTACACAGCCTTGGAGGCACTAGTACTGCATCCAGGAGTTTCTACATGAGCCAGAGCTCTCCTACAGTATTTAGCAACAACAAAAACAACACTAGCTTAATGTGATATTTTGTTACTACTACTGGCATTCAATTCTCTCTTCTCCCTGTTGTTGATGTATTGTATAATCAAGTACAACGAGAATTATTTCGTGTAGAAAAATTTAATAAACGAGAGCCCAAGAAAAAAACAACTCTAGTCTCGTAAACACTTTATACTGCGCACTATTATTAACAAAAATTATCATCAAGAACGTGATGGAAGCTTTTATTATTTTCTGCACATCATATATCTAGAACATGAATAGCTATTTATAAAAACCACAATTTTAATGAATAAGTTTATGTTTCTTTTCTCCTTATGTTACGTATCATTTAAGAGAGCTCTCACAAATAACACAGCTACACAATCACTATGCGCACAACTCTATTGTTAACCTTGCTACTGATACTCTCCTGCATCTGTACATGTGCAGCAGCAGAGAGGATGCCACTGCCGGTGCCACGTGTGGGTGGATACGCTACAGAGGCGAAGGGACAAGGGTTCACAGACAAACTGGGACCAGGAAAAAACGAATCGTGGAATAATGGTCAATTCACTACTACCACACCATCCCTCAGTATGAGTGAGTCCATGAGTGCCTCTGCCACTCTTCCTCTCACTGACACCACTACTGTTGCCCCAGCACCTGATCAACAACAACAAGAAACAGCAGCAGGAGATCAACAGACTACAGAAACAGGAGAGGAACGGCCCGCCACTACTGAGGAGTCGACTACGACGAGCACCGCAGCACCGAAGAAGAAGAAGGACGGCGGCCGCGGCCCTGAGTGGCTGCACGGCCCGCTGGTGCTGCTCGCCGCCCTCACCGCCGCAGTGCTGTGCTGAGTCCCGCCCCCTCTGCCAGTGCGGCACTGTAATGATATTCCCCTCTTTTTGCTGGCGACGGCACCCACCACATCACATCCCTCTACTTTGCTACTCTGTGTGTGTTTATCTGATTGTTGTGGTTGTGTGTGCACGTCCTGCCCTCCATGGACCTGGTGCCACTGCTGTATTGCAATCACCTCGTCAACGTGGATGGGTTCTTGATATTAACACTCATTGTGTGAAACTGGGCTAATAACATCTTTTTTCTTGCTTTCTTTGCTTTATGGTGCCCACATACACTGCTGCTGGGAGGGAGTGGACAGACATATTGTAATAGTGGTGGTGGTGTTGGTGGCACCTCTGTGAGATTTGGCCTCATCTTGGGGAAGTTTCTTTTTAGCTCGAGACTCAAATCTCGGGTGAAATCTCTTTTAAACATGAACGTTAAGATCCTTTTTTTGCTTTGCTTAATAATAGTTTTGGAATAATGACGGCAGTATTCATTGTTTTTTTATTTGTGTTTTTCAGCTGTTAGTGTAGAATGTGTGTGCTGAATGTTAATACCATCTTTCCTCTTAAGGAGGGGAGTGCTGTTAGGTAAGCTGAGTGTGTTTCTTCTTTTTGGTGCCTTATTATACTGCACTTCTCTTTGTTATTAAGCATCGGTACCTATGGGGTACTGTTGTGTGTGGATTCACTGATTGGGATTTCTTAATAATGGTCTCTTTGTAAACATGAATGGCGTATTTGGCAGTTTAAAGAGATGTGTTCCTATGGTGTACAATTGGTGTTGTGATAAGGCTTTGTGTTGTTATATCTGTTTGTTTACCTTTTTACTCTTTGTGCCTCCTATTCCTTAGTTTATGATGGACTAGTGTAGTATTATAATAATAACAGTGATGCCCTGTATGCTATTTGTGTATGTCTGCGTTGTTGGCTCTAATAAAGCCACACTTGTGCAGCAGACATAGCAGGGATAAGGGGTTGTTGTGGTCCCATGTGTGTGTGTACGCACATACTCGATGTGGGTAAGGAAGGGAAGAGGGACAGCTGCCAGTCTACAGTGTAAGGTGTATTGTACATGATGTGTTTACGCCTTCACTCTAATGAAGTGAATGCTTGCCATTACTGTGAAATGGAATGGGGATTAGTGTTGAGTGAATATATATAGAATCCTAATTGGTATTGTATGTGATGTTCCTAGGTGCCAATATTTTGTGTTATTGATGGAATTCAGGATATATCTACGGTACTGTTGTTGAAAATTTTGTTGCCTCTCAACCCAGGAGCAGTTGTATAGCATCATTATTTGATCCAGGTGTAGTTTTTTATTGAAGAAATGAGTTCCATTAAGTTTATGGGGGTAGTTCCAGTTGTGTTTTATCGATAGCCGCGATAGCTCAGTTGGGAGAGCGTCAGACTGAAGATCTGAAGGTCCCTGGTTCGATCCCGGGTCGCGGCATTCCTTTTCTCCTTTTTATCGGAGAACCGTTCTGCTCTTTCGCAATGGGATGGAGGTGTGGTGTTTACGTCGGTATATAAGAAAGATTTGAGCGGTGCAGTGTTATCTCAACTGGGATATTTGCTGTGTAGTTTAATGAGAAGTATACTGGATGATTTATACTTATCTGGCTTCTTTTTTAATCCAAATGAGAATAGTCTTTGGTTAAAAGGAGGTTCCTGTAAAGGGATTTTTGCAAACACTCCCAGGGCAAAGCGGCCAAATGAAGAGACATTTTGGCATTGAGATGCCCAAGAAGAAACTGACATGTTAAGAAAAAAAGACTCCATACATTACACAAATATATCATAATACGTATATCAAACCATTCGTGTACGCTGCGGAAATCAGCACAGCGTTCTGCAACGAAACAATCGTACAGCTATTGAATTGTTCTGCTCTTTATCCATGGATTGTACAGCTTGCGGTATCTTGAGTTTCCTTTAAGTTTTTATCTTTTACTAAATAATTATCCCAAATGGTGTAGCTCTGGAGAGGAACTACAATATAACCTAATTCTTTCATACAGGTATCCTCATGTTAACCACCTCCACTAATATCAGAGAATTCTCCGCCATGAAGTGTGACTGGCATGGATTATGGAGGAACTGATAGATTTAGACGTAAATGTACTTGTTTCCAGTATCCCCAACAGCATAAATAGGACTTCAATGGACAAAATAAAAATGCACAAAACGAAACTTGCCAACGGTTTGTGATTAATGAGAATTCTAGTAGTGATTTATCGTTGACTGTTTTGTATTGTATGAAAAAAGGTTACAAATGAAAATATGAAAAAAAAAAAAGCTCAAATTAAAAAATGAATATTTAAAAAAACATGAGGACCCGATAAAGAATGGGATATTTTTCTATTCACTCATTTGGAGTAAGAATGGATGTACATTACATTGATCTTTGGGCAGTTGCACTATTGAAGTAAAACCCGAAGAGATGAGAAAAGTAAAAAATATGATGTTTCTCAGTGTACTATCACCATCATCACTTTGTGAACCACAAGCACTCATCTTTACTGTCAGAGTGAATAAAAGAAAATTACTTTACAGATTATATCTCTATTAGCATCACAATCATATTATACAGCCTTGGAGGCAATGGGACTACACCCAGAAGTTTCTACATGAGCCAGAGCTCTCCTACAGTTTTAGCAACAGGAGTAACAACATTAGCTTAATGTGGTATTCTGTTACTACTGCTCGCTTTGACTTCATCTTGTTGTGGATGGAACATATAATCAAGTAAAATAAGAATTATTTTGTGTATACAAATTTCATAAAAAGGAGAACACAAGAAAAAAACAAATCTAATGTCGTATACAAAATATATTGCAGACTATTATTAACAATAATTATCATCAAGAAAACGATAGAAACTTTTATTCTTTTCTGCACATCAAATATCTCTAGTACACGAATAGATTCATGTAAAAACCATCACTTTAATGAATAAGTTTATGTTTCTTTTCTCATTATGTTACGTATCATTTAAGAGAGTTCTCACAAAGAAAACAGCTACACAATCACTATGCGCACAACTCTTCTATTATTAACTTTGCTACTGATACTCTCCTGCATCTGTACATGTGCAGCAGAGAGGATACCACTGCCGGTGCCACGTGT